TTTAATTCGTCAACAGAACATTGAAAAGAAAAAGAGTTTTGAATTCTTTCCCAGACATCATTAACAGCCATGCTGTTTTTATGGGATTTCTTTTGATGAAGATACGCTACACAGTAGACGTCACGAACTATGAAAATGGCGATACGTCCGTTACCTTCGCAATCGTCGGCGCAACTGGGCAAGCGAATGTGTGGGAGACTACGCGAAGGTTCGAGGTTCGCGCGCTTTGATGTCTGTTAAAAAACCGACACAGCTTGGAAAACCACGAATGCAGCGAAAACTTTGCATAATCATTCGCAAATGTCGTCCTACACTTGCGGGTTTGCGTATTCGTGCGCATGTGAGTGACCGGTGTTAAGCACGGGTCGTATAATCTAAAGTTCATAGAACACGCGATCTGTCATTTGATGAATCAAAACATTAAGGACGTTCGTACGCAAATTGCGTAATAAAGAACCGGTCGCGGATAACATGGTCATTGACAATAACAGCTGCGAGAACGTGGCGAGAACAATGACTAGCAAATTAATTGAACTTTGAACTATTACAAGTTCGTTTATCATAGAACGATATTAGTTTTTCATTTTATTTGAATTTACTTATTAAGCTTTTTGTTTCCCTATACGGGGCACCTGTGTGGGGCCAGTCCCTGGCCGCGGGGGTGGCGAAGCTGCTGCAACGGCCGCAACGCACCATCGCGGTCAGGGTCATCCGTGGTTATCGCACCATCTCCTTTGAGGCGGCGTGTGTACTGGCTGGGACGCCGCCTTGGATTCTGGAAGCGGAGGCGCTCGCTGCTGACTATCAGTGGCGGGCTGACCTTCGTGCCCGGGGCGTGGCGCGTCCCAGCCCCTGTGTGGTCAGAGCGCGGAGGGCCCAATCTCGGCGGTCCGTGCTGGAGTCATGGTCCAGACGGCTGGCTGATCCTTCGGCTGGTCGTAGGACCGTCGAGGCGATTCGCCCGGTCCTTGTGGATTGGGTGAATCGTGACAGAGGACGCCTCACTTTCCGGCTCACGCAGGTGCTCACTGGGCATGGTTGTTTCGGTGAGTTCCTGCACCGGATCACAGCCGAGCCGACGGCAGAGTGCCACCATTGTGGTTGCGACTTGGACACGGCAGAGCATACGCTCGTCGCCTGCCCCGCATGGGAGGGGTGGCGCCGTGTCCTCGTCGCAAAAATAGGAAACGACTTGTCGTTGCCGAGTGTTGTGGCATCGATGCTCGGCGACGACGAGTCGTGGAAGGCGATGCTCGACTTCTGCGAGTGCACCATCTCGCAGAAGGAGGCGGCGGGGCGCGTGAGAGACGCACAATCCCGCCGCCGTCGAGCGGGGGCCAGGGAGGCGGATCTCGCCCAAGCCCTGGCCCTCTAAGTGTTTCGGGTCCCCCTCACATGTCGGTCTGGGGACCGGCGAGGGGGGCCTAAGAAGACGACGTGCAAGCTGCTCTGCACGCGTTTTACGCAAGAGCATCCGGGTGATGGAAGGCCGGCTATCCTCGACTCACGCTGGTTCTGGTCCAGCGGGGTATTCCGTAGGATAGCTCACTCTAACCGGCGCCATCTAGGCGGGCTTCGGATAGCCTGCCGACCGAGAGGGCTGGTGGTCGTGGCGCCGACGACCGCCGGTCCGGCGTCCCGAGGGGGAGGGTGATGGGAGAGATGTGCTCCGCACTAAACGCTTCACTTTCCCCCCTCTGCCTCTTCATGAGTTCTGTCTCATGCGAGGTTTGGACGTTGGTTGTTGAGCGACAGGAGGTTTTAGTCAGTTCGACTCTGACATGCCCCGCCCTCCATCCCCAGTGGAGGGCGGAAGTCCAAAAGCTTTTTGTTTGTTTTTTATTGTCTTTTAGGGACATTGCAGATCAACGTTCGTTACCAGTTTTCTGGCAATTAATCTCCAATTAAACATTTCGTTTTTGTTTCTTAAATCGGTGACTACCTGCAAATGCCGCCACCCACCTTGAGATATGGGTTCTAAGTCCCAGTTTTACAGTACAACGGCTGCCCCACCTCACAACTCGACCAGCATTTCGCAGCAGAAATAGGTAGGGTGGTGGAATCTATCCGTGCGGGCGCATAGGACTCTTTACCACCGGTAAACACACAAATAGGCCTCTTGTAAGAACTGAGTCATATATATAAGATACTTCAGTAAATAAATAATGTAATGTAAATTTTATCTATTTATAGAAGCATCACATTAATCGGACAAAGTCCTTAAGAGATATCTAGTTTTCTTTTGTCACCGATAAAAACCAACCGAAGTTGAAATTCGTGATATTGGTGTTTTATATTAGTGACGATCTTTAAATCCAATTTTCCTATCCTATCCCTTCCTAAGTTTTCTCTTTTCATTTCAATTACGTACGGGAGGGCGCACAATATGCCGGGCCATAATTAATTTGTTTTCAGCGTCGGAAAACACAACTTGTCGTGATGTATAATAGATCACAATGAATTTACCATTGGTATTTTGAGTTGGCGTGTTGGGTGGCAATCTATGAAATTAAAACTGTAGTGCATACTGCATTGAAGAACTTAAGCCTTTCGCTATGTTAATGTGCTGCATCAGAACCCTCATCAGGGCTCATGAGGGGTCAGAAGGCTTTATGAACATCATATTTGTATTTTTGCAATCATCACAAATCCAAATATAGTTTGAGGTACCAATGTGTTTAGTGCGAGTTTTTTAACGTTCTCGATAACGTAAAAGTTAACTCAATTTTGTATGGATTCGGAACGTTTGCCTACGTTTGCCGCTAGGGGCGCTGTTCCAATTGCATACAGATTTGAGTTAACTTTTACGTTATAGAGAACGTTAAAAAACTCGCACTAAGCACATTGATATGTCATTAGTCACCGTATGCTTTGCTCATTTCAATCATCTTCACCATCTTACTGGTCTTCTCTGTCATTCTCTTTTCCCTTTCTTACCGCTTTCTCTCACTCACATCTTAACTCTTCATTCCACATTTTCGCACATTCCATTCTTACCAATCCTTCATAAATGCTTGATAAAAGAAATTGCCCTTCCATAAAGATGACTTCAATGTGGGTATGAATCCGGAGTACTTATTTGTTCTCGGGAAATAAAAGTTCATCATGAAAATACAGAAGACACTTAAATAATTACACATACATGCTTTAATTAATGCAGAAAATGTATTATATTACTTAGTATGTATTGGTGTATTAATACGTCAATGTATATTTTATTTGGTCTTTTAAGAATTTCTTGAATGTGGTTTTCATTTGAATTATATAAAAACATTATTTTATATGTTACGTCTCAATATGATTCATAAAATGTTGAGTTTTTTCATTTGTAAATCTTGTTTTTGTATTCAATATAGCATGAATCATTTGCTAAATAAATATTGTCGTAAGTGCGTGAGGTTTTTATGTAAAATATGTACTAATAACAATACTACTATACAGTTTATTTCCATTGCTAGTGTCATGGGCAGTCTAGTTTCAAAAGTGCGATATTAACTTACAATACAGTTCAGACTTGACTATCAGGTATCAATAGAGGCATTTCCGATTATGATATCTAGAAACCCCAGTAACCATTTAACGCCATATGAGTCAGGAGCTTGTTCTGATATGTATGAAAAAAAATTGAGCCCATTGATTTAAGGGTTTTTTTATCAGCTCATCTAAGCTAAGGAATGTCTGTAGAAGATAATCAGTTGATTAAAACAAAGAAATAATTTATAGTAATGAATAGCTCCTTATTATAACTTGCTTCTTAAAATGTATAAAGTCAAACCTGGGTAAGTGAGAACTGGATAAGTGAGAAAACTCTATAAGTGAGAGTAATAGCCAGGCATTTTAAGCTCCCAAAACCTCTATTAGCGAGAAACAGAAACCTTTGTAAGAGAGAGAGTCGTTTTTCCCTCATGGACCTCCGTAAGTGAGACTGCTAATTATCTATACCTCTATAAGCGACAGTCGAGCTTTATTTATTTATATTATTTAGTAGGAACAAATGACAAAGCAAATTACAAATTTAACATCTGCTATTTTATGACTCATTCTTAACTTTCGTGGAACTTCCTACCATTGTTTTTGTATTGTTTTCTCGTCAATATTGAAACTATTCTATTTAATGGAACTAAATAACGTTATTATTTTATCGCATTCTTTTCGAATGGACACGTGTGCTTGTGTACCGTCCTGTTTGTCGGACTTACTCAGTTTATCGTTAATCAATTGCAAAGGAAAGTTCTGTTCTGCAACATGTCAAAACGGAAAATTAAAGTACTGTCATTAAGTGATAAACTTAAAATAGTGCATGCGTTTGAATCCGGAAAATCGCGCAATGTAATTCAGAGGGTGCATTAGCGAGAAACTCGGGTTAGTGAGAAACCTCTATAAGCGAGAATGAGATTGTGCTCCCTTGCTTATCCAGGTTTGACTGTATATATAATATTTTTTTTTAGTTTTATTGTACCTTAACCTTTAGAATACAAATTACGAAACATATAAATTTATTACATTCTATTATGTAATATTTGACTTCGTTCTAACTAATAATATGTTTGTCCCTATCTTTAATTTTCATATTTATTATTTTTATTAAAACACGAAAATTCTTTCATTATGTATTTTCATCGAACTTCGCGAGTCGTAATTATAATTAAAATTAATTTTACTGTTTAATCTTGAGTTTTTTATTGACATTAAAGATTGTAGACTAATTTGTAAAGTATTGAAACATCGGAAATAATTTTATCAAAGTAAAAAATGCAAGCATAACTGTTAAAATTCGTTTTTATTATATTATTCTATATAAAAATAAATTTCAGTATTCAAAATGTACCATTAAATGATGTACCTCTTACGTATGGTCTACTTTCACTTAAAAAATAAAAAAATTGCAAAGGTCTGTACTTAAAAGCTCGAGTGGAAACTTTTTAGAAAGCATTTCATGTCCATCTAACAGCTGAAAATTAAAAGTTTGACCTTCCTCTTAATTAAAATAAAGCACTTACCGTTTATACTTCACATGCAGATATAATCAGTACTATTCGAATTCAACAAACACTGATTTAAATAAGTAGCACCATAATATAAAATTAATTTGTTTGTTTAGCTTTGTCGCCTCGTCGTGGCGTATAGCGCTTTCCGAGAATTTTCAAATCTGCCACTGTCAGCAGAATGCAGAATTACATTCAATTCAGCAATCAATCCAGTCATGCAATTTGACCATAGATAATACACTGAACTCAACACAGACTACTAAGAGATAGAAATTATTCAGTTGTTACATAGATTATCGTTACGCGTTTACCGAAAGCTGATATTTTTGAAATTATACTTCTTTAGGCGCGTTATGAAAAATTGATGAGAGTGAAATTTTACGATGCGCGCGCACCGTGACACAAAATTAACAGAAATGAAGCTGCCCACTAAATCGCTCATTACAATACGACCGACGCCATAAATTCGTTGCAAATACTACATCAAGCTGCTATTCATGAAATGAAACCCATAACGCGACACCCGTTAGAATATTTTATTTATTTATTCTTAGATGTGTGGACGAGCTTGCAACCCACCTGTCGTTAAGTGGTTACCGGGGCCCATAGAAATATACAACGTAAATGCTCCACCCACCTTGAAATATGAGTTCCAAGGTCTCAAGTATAGTTACTGCCCCACCCTTCAAACCGAAACGAATTACTGCTTCACGGCAGAAATAAGCAGGGTGGTGGTGGTACCTACCCGTGCGGACTCACAAGAGGTCCTACCACCAGAAATTAACAAATTATAATTTTGCGGGTTTAATTTTTATTACACGATGTTGTTCCTTCACCGTGGAAGTCAATTGTGAGCATTTGTTGAGTACGTACATACATTAGAAAAATTGGTACCCGCCTGCGGGATTCGAACACCGTTGCATCGCTCAACACGAATGCACCGGACGTCTTATCCTTTAGGCCACGATGAATTCAATATGAAAAAGTTATATTGTTTTTCTACACTAAGACGTCAACAGTGCCAGGTTACAGCCGCAGAGTTTTGTTCGGTATGCTACACGGTCATTAATAAAACACGAAACAATTTCAATAAAATATATTTATTCCTACACATTCATTAAACATTCCAATCATGCAATCACATACCGACTCTAAACTATTGTATTGGTATTAAAAATTCTTATTAAAGCACAAATTTCTTTATCGTACATTTGATTAACAAACAATATATTATTATTAATTTTTAAAATATTTCACCAATTGCATACGTTAACATGTACTTATGGGTAGAATAAAAATGTCATTATATTTAAATATAGGCCGTATAATAATCGTATTCAAAAACATCACCACACAAGGCCAGTTTCTAACAAAAAAATGTTCGTTCGAAAATTGACGCAGAGCTTTTTGGAGGGAACACGATCGGCCAATTAATGTCAAATCAATTGCATTAAAAAAAAAAGAGTTATAACGGTGGTCTATTTCCTGTGAAAGTGAACTTGTGTGAGAAAATAAATTCACTGAATTCTTAAAAAAAACCGCTTTGGTATAAGTAAATTTCCGACATTTTGTTGCGAAATCATTCTATCTATCCGGTTTTCGTTTAATATTATTATCCCAATTGATTTTTGTTCAGATAACCTCTTCAGGGGTGGTGAAATTATCGCATATAATCCATTTCTCATAGAGACAAAATACTAACAAAATAGTAACACTGTTTGAAACATAGCAACCCTATTTTCGTCATCGCAGCGGAAGCGGGAGGGGACAAAATGATGAGCAGCAACGCAAAAATATGTACACAATCGTTCTCGGTCCCTTAAAACTGTACGAACATTCAATTAATAAACCAGTTGTAAACACAGTCCACTTTTAATCTGATAAGCCTTGCATCCAACATCTCACCGCATTAACACCAACAAACACAAAAAAGAACAATTTATAAAACATACATATTAATATCACTAATTATTATTTATAAAATTACTAGCATCATTAATATTTCATCATTGGGCATGATTTCAAAAAACAATTCTTACAATTTTAATTTTATTTTACACGGATGACCGACTCCAGTGCATCTGGCTAAGCAGTCTCCGGAGCCCATGGACACAACTATCCTGGCAAGCGCCCTTCCACACGAGATCGAAGTTCCATAACGGCTGCTCTAACCTAACAGACGATCGGCTCGCGTCCGATATAGGTGGAATAGTACCCACGCATGCGGGGTAGCCATACACAATACCACCACTAAGCTATGTAGTTACATTTACGCGATATCAAATAGCGTATAGTGTGTACCGTACCCAAATTATAGAATTAAAATTTAATTTAGTAACAACGGCGTTTTAATCACACAAGGGGTTTATCAAACGGTATTTGCTGAACAAAACACGCCTTTTTCTTTTTTTTTTGGAAACTAATATTGTTAAAAGCAATAAAATCTAATGCGTTGTTTTATGACACCCGTGTGACGTAATTATGTGAAATTTCATGTATTTCTCTTTGTTTACTACATATGACGTCACACACGTAACATGTGACAATTTAGAAATACAAAAAATTTGCTTGACTCAAATACATAACGATTGGTCGGTCTGATGCTGGTGAGCACGTCACTCCGCAGGTGCCTTCAGAAGACCAGCGCCGCAGTATCGATTGAGTTGATCTGTTAGGCATTGCTGAGCCGGTAACCGTCCACAAGCCTCGTTATTTTTTTGTTTTTGTACCTAATTTATGATTGGAACAATTGTTTATTATTATTATTATTACACGTCAATTTAAATTTGCACAGCAATTTCAAACGGTTTAAGTGACGCAATCATTGTTATCAACAAAATTGTTTTAGTGATGTCACTCATAGGAGCATCTCTGTACTGATGTGTTATCAACAGAAATAAATTTATTGAAACTAGTTTCCATGGTACGCTTTACATTGCCGCCTTGATATGGAACTCCGAAAATTTCACTCGCATCGGCATGTTAACGATGCTGTCCTATTATTCAATATCAATCGTTGAGGATGAATGGGCCACATTAAAATCCTTTAATTTTCTTAGGGCGTTTGACATATGGTAGGGTTCGGTACGAACGCGTGGCCCGGCGCCAGAGTCCGCACGCTGCTGCACTCAGCCAAGGGGGTCCGGATGCTGAGACGCCCGCTGCGGCGGACCGGCGTCACCGTGTACTTGGGGCCCTCGGACCTGCGCCTGTGAGCATATGGGAAAAACAGTTATTCTTCACAAACAGTTATTAATCACCATTACGCTGATGGGATGTTGCAAGCTATAACTATTTTTTTATGATTGAAGTATTACTGGTTGCCCGGAAGCCTTTCCAGTTTCACCACGACAGGTGGGCGAAGGCTCAGCCAGGAGGGGTGGGATTTGCTAACAACTGCCCGAGCGCCTCCAAAAGAGACCTAACAACTCAAGAGCAGCTGCTTCGCGAATGAATCTACATACTACCGGATCGGAATCGCGACCCGCTGAGAAGATCCGGCGAGAAACTCAGCGGGCTGATGCATGAGTTAGTTTGCACGTCGAGTTCTACGAGTACGGTTATCGGGAATCGTTATGATGGTAGAAGTGATTATGAGGCAGAGGAAGGTAAATTATAACTCCTGCGATTGACCATTGCATAGATTAGCGAGTCGACATGGTCCGCTATATTGGCGTGAAGAACGGATATAATGAATTAGCATTATTACATTTCTTTTACCGACTTAAAAGATTTTACAAAAAGAAAAATAAATTGTATAAATTAATAAGTTAAAAAAAACGTTTTAATAGCAAACCTAACTATCTTGATCCGGATATTAGGCGACATTATTGATGCGTACGCAAATTATAAATGGCAAATTTTGAGATTAGTAAACTTAGCACATGCTAGTGTCAGCAATTCTCTCAGGTTGAGCCGGTTAGCTCACCTACCGGTTTGTGAGTAGCTAGAATAGCTACTATTGATTGGGCAGGGAAAAAAGAAGATAAAACTATGTTGACAGATTTCTTAAGTAGACACAAATCACACAAATACAAGTTTTTTTATTGCCTTTGTAGATAGAGCATACAGCTCACCTGAAGGTAAGTGTTTACCGTCGCTCATGGACATCGGCAATGGTAGGCGCAGAGACAAGTCGCTCACTACCGTTAAGCTGTGTTAATTGAAGCGCGTTTTTGGTTTGCTGCTTTAGCTTATAGATACAAAGCATTTATTTTCTGTACAAAAATGCATATTCAAAAGGTTACTTTATGAAATCGAAGGCAGCTTTAGGTTATTTACTAACTCTATACCAATGAGAACTATGAAAAAACTCTATATAGTGACGAAATACAATGCGATAACTGACTACCGTTCAAATTAGAATGTACGATGGCCAAGCAGCATGACCAAATTTCGATATAACGATATAATTGTACCTACCCGCACTGGTTCGCGATGCAAGCATCACTAATCGCTATATACAGTATGACAAACATATTCTACTTACAATTTAGCTTGTTGAACAGCGAAACGTATGATCGTACTTTTGAAGACGTTTTTGACGTCTACCATTTTGGGATCGATGCAGCGCCGCTTACCGCTGTTCGGGCTGATCTTCAGCTGCATGAACTTGTCCAGTAGCTGGTCGAGATTCGCTTCGACGACTGAATGCTGAAAATTATATCGATATATATATTATAGGTTATATAGGTATTGCGATCTCGTGTATCGAGGTCAGGAGGCTTCTGTGACCAGCAAGTGTAACTCTCAGAAAATGTCATTGACTGACTCGGTGGTGTAGTAGTTAGAGGGCCTGGCTGTTGCGCCGAGGGTCGTGGGTTCAATTATAATATCGTTTAAAGTTTGTTTGCCATCAAGCCAAAATCCAACAAGCCAAATTTTTTTTTTTTAAATTACTTCAGTTCCCTTAGCGATAGCCTCCTCCCAACACTGTACGGATGCCGGCAAATCTCCTCGTCTCTCTTCTAGAGCAGCCCTGCACTCCCAGTAAGCAGCCGTGTTGGACGCGTCCGGGAATCTCTCCCTTATAGCTCGGAGCCAACGAGCACTTTGCTCCCAATCGAAGCCCTGAAATTATTATAATTTGTAATTTATCTATTTTACTAGTTCTATAAAGTATGCTGTGAAGTTGCATGGGTTGGAGTTATGGACTCATGTGAACTCGCACAGGTAGGTAGCACACTGAAGCAGTTATTGTACTATAAAACTCAAGACTTAATTTATTTTCCAAGGTGGGTGGTAGCATTTACATTGTTGATTTGAGCTTTTTTTTTTTCGGGCCGAGGGCCGAACCTCCTACGAGGTCGCCCGACCGACGGGTCCTCGAGGCGATAGTCGACGACCAACGACGTCGGTCTCCGCGGTACGGCGGCCCTACCAAGCCGCCCGGGCGATGCAGCTGGTGTTCCGGGATACCCCGCTGGGCCAGAACCAGCCTGCCGGGTCGGAACGCGATACACCGCCGACCGGGTTGCTCTTCCACACTATGTTCGGCGACGACAGCGACGACGAAAATGCGGACCGCATCGCAGTCCGCAGCCGCCGACGCGCCGTCCCGTCCTCCTGGTGCCAGCGCGCTAGAGTGACGGTAGCGTACGGCGCAGTCTCAACCCCCTTAGGTCGCCCCGTGACCATCACCGGGAGGAGACTGCCTCCTCATAGGGGCCGGAGCTGGACAAACGCCCTCCTCCGACCCCCGGCTCCACGGCGGCGGCACGGCGCCGAGAGGGAGGAAGAGTTCTCCCTCTCCCGTTCCGCCGCCTCCTTCTGCGATATAGTGGACTCGCAGAAGTCGAGCATCGCCTGCCAGGATTCATCGCTGCCGAGCATCGCAGCCACGACGGTCGGAAGCGACAAGTCCGGTTCTATTTTTGCAACGAGGATGCGGCACTGCTGGGGCAGTACGCGAGCGTGTGCTCCGCCGTGTCCTCGTGGCAGCCACTGCAATGGTGGCACTTCGGCGTCGGCTCCCTCCGGGCGACGAGGTGCAGGTAGCGACCGAAACAGCCGTGTCCCGTGAGCACCTGCGTCGCTCGGAAGGTGAGACGTCCTCGGTTGCGATTCACCCAGTCCGAGAGGACCGGGCGGATCGCCTCGACGGTCCGTCGCCCGTAGGCGGGGTCCGCCAGGCGGCGAGACCACGCCTCGAGCACGGCACGCCGAGATTGAAGCTTTCGCGCTCGAACTTCCGCTGCGCCGAAACGCGGCTCCCCCCTGGAGCGGAGATCACATCGCCACGCGTAATCCGCAGCGAGCGCCTCCGCTTCCAGGTCCCAGGGAGGAGTCCCGGCGAGCACGCACGCCGCCTCGAACGAGGTGGTGCGGTACCCACGAACCGCCCTGACCGCAATCGCGCGCTGCGGACGTCGCAACGCTGCGACGTTGTCGCGGGTCAGGGCGTGGCACCATATAGGAGCCCCGTACAGTGCCATTGACCGCACCACCCCCGTGTAGAGGTGGCGCACCACCATGTCGGAACCCCCGACGTTCGGCAATAGCCGATTCAGCGAGCCGGCGGCTGCCATCAGTCGGGGACCCAATCTTTCGAAGTGAGCACGGAAGCTCCAACGACCGTCCAGTACGAGACCGAGGTACCGCAACCCGGTCGCCTCGATCTCGACGCGAACGCCTCCAATCACGAGGTGGGCCCCCTGAGGCGGCGCTCTCCGGGCCCCGTGGAACAACAGGGCCTGGGATTTACCGAACGCCACCTCCAGACCCAGCCTTCGGATCCTGCCGACGACGAAGGCCACCCCCGCGCAGGAAAGACGGGCAGACTCGCGGAGCTCCAGCAACTACCTAACACAAGGCCAGCCGTGAGCTCGTCCAGCCATGTAATCAGTAAAGCAATGTATCAAAATCCTTTTACCAATGCTATATAATGATTCATGTCAGTTTTATCCTGCAAGTTTATTACTTTGTAAATGTCAATGAAGTTACATGTTAATCTACATCCTAATATTACGGCTAGTACGGCAGTAACAGCTGTTTTTATAGTATGATTGATACTTGGATACTATCTCGTAGGTAACCACTTGTAGTGTCTATGGGTTATCAACATTCACCAGCAGATATATGGATGAAAAGAACTAGATAATACTTTGTTACCTCTTTCAGTAAATCAGTAAGGTCATTCAAGGCTCCCAGTAATATTTCATCAACTTTAAAAACGTCTGTCGATGTCAACGTACTGTCAGCACTCTCATTGAAGTCAACGCTTTCACTGACGCAGCTAGCTCGCCGCCAATTCACTGTATCTTTGACGTGTTTGTTATTCTCATTCATGTTTTCGACATACGAATCGTCATCGCTGTCAGAATTCAGAGCAATATTCTCTTTATTTTCTTCTTCATAGTTAAATTGTGGTAATTCTTCAAAGGCTAAAGGTACAATGTCTTTGTTCGATAAATGATTGATCCCAAAACATTGCAAATGATGGTAAGTGTCTAATGATTTGCCACGTTTTTCTAACCAAGATTTTAATCTTGCTTGTAGTTCTTCCGGGCGTGGCGTATTGAAATTCTGAGGTATCGGAGTCATGAATTTAACCTTCTTCCTTTCACTCTTAATAGCTGATATAACTTTGTCAGCATTTACTGTTTCATCTTCGTTAATGTGTTTTAAATGCACATTATTTAACTTATCACCAATTGAAGCCCACTTATGAATGCAATTGCCAATTTCATTTTTGCTTATTCTCTTGAAGTGTACAGCAGATATAGAGCGGCGAACTGATGGCTTGGTCTTGATGGCAGCATGAGATTTTTCAAGCAGCAACCCCGAGCTTTTAATGACCTTTTTNTTTACTGTTTCATCTTCGTTAATGTGTTTTAAATGCACATTATTTAACTTATCACCAATTGAAGCCCACTTATGAATGCAATTGCCAATTTCATTTTTGCTTATTCTCTTGAAGTGTACAGCAGATATAGAGCGGCGAACTGATGGCTTGGTCTTGATGGCAGCATGAGATTTTTCAAGCAGCAACCCCGAGCTTTTAATGACCTTTTTCAAATAATTTGGATCAGTTTTTAGTTTGTTGATGTCATTATCATGGTTTGCAATCACTTTGGGTTTGTATAGCCTATCGAAGACAGATTCTCGGGTAGTTGTATCTGACATCTTTGGTATCATTGTCTTCCTAGTTGCTGTCATAGTTGGTTTCGGGTTACTAAGTTTCGGTGCTGCCAAACTTTTTCTTGTATGTTTTACCTCAATTTTTGGAGCATTCAGTTTTTTCTCATCCTTTGTTACTTGATGAGAAGCTAGTTTTGATGTACCCATCATTGGTATCTTGCTTCCAGTTCTGTTATTTGATACGTCTGGTTTCTTAAAGTTTTTCTCCATTTTTGTTTCAATTTTAGGATCATTAGCAATTTTTGATTTACCATTATCATCTTTTTTAGGCATCAAAGATTTTCTAGCTTCTGGGGCTGTGAGAGGCCTTTTTGTAATTACTCCATTAACATGAAAATTGTTTTTATAGTTACTACTGACATTATTTTTGGTTATATTTGATCCAGTTTCATTTTTGATCGACTTACCGGCCGCACTACCATTTGACACTGAGTTTTTGGGTTGGGTGTCATTTTTGTTATATTTCTTGAGGTTTAATTCCCGTAACTAGAAAAGTAAATAAAAATTGTATAATATATATATTGAAAAGGTCAGGTCAGGACATTTGTTTGACTGCTGCACCAGTCAAGTTCCAAGCTGCCAAGTTCAGCTCCCGTCGAGTGTTTTGCTTAACACTAGAGAGTACTATCATGGTGCAATAATTTGGGCATGAAACAATTATTCATTTAAATATATAAAATTCTTTATTACTAAATTTAGACAATATGTTGTGGATTAATTTGGGGAAGTGCTCATAATGAATTTTTTATATTTAAAAAATATGATAGTGGCATTAATACTACAATTTCTTATCTATTGGGGTATGTATATATCAAAATGTAGATTTTAGTGTCAAATTTATTTCTGGTATCTTATAGGCTATTTATACTGGACTATATTTAGTCATACATCACGGTAGGCAGCGGCTTGGCTCTGCCCCTGGCATTGCTGAAGTCCATGGGCAACGGTAACCACTCACCATCAGGTGGGCCGTATGCTCGTCTGCCTACAAACGGTAGGCAGCGGCTTGGCTCTGCCCCTGGCATTGCTGATGTCCATGGGCGACGGTAACCACTCACCATCAGGTGGGCCGTACGCTCGTCTGCCTACAAGGGCAATAAAAAAAAACAAAAATACATCAAGATTTAACTTCATTTTATGTATCATGATATTTATTTAGTTGTTTGTATGCGTTTTTAAATGTAGTTTTAAAAGTTTCATAACCATCAATGGCACTAAGTCTACCAGCTGACTATTTCTATGTAGATGTATTTAGTTAGATTGCTAGGCTAAGGATAGGGCAACACGCTTCAAGGTGGCATTAACATTGTTGAGGTCTATGAGCTCTAGTAGTGGTAGCACCAGGCAGGTCGTGAGCCCTCTGATGGTTGGGTATTTAAGTACTAAAAACAAAAAAAACTTAGGTACTTTTTATTTTTACCTACTAGTTTATTTTCTATTATAGTTGTTGGTTATGAGAAATTATTTTCTGAGGCAAGCATTACTGTGTCGTAACCATTCATAATTAGGAGTCATCAAGCTGAGCCCCTTTCTGGGCAAGGCCAGAAGGAATCTTGTGAGTCTACCCGATATAATGTACACTTGTATTTCTGTGTTTCTATAAATTAGCAATTCTTTGTTGAATTTTTGTATTCTATTTAATTTGAATAATATTGTAATTGGGTTCTATTAATGTTTTTGTTATTAGCTTCATGGAGCTTGCGTGTATCTTAAAATTAATTTTGTTTATCTAGTACAGAATATTGTGAAGCTTTACCTTTTCGATTCGCGCCTTTTCCCTAGCGATGCGTTCTTCTCGGAGCTTATTCAACCGATCAGTTACAGATTCCATTTTTAAAACAACAATTCACTGTTAGTGCCTTTTTTAACAATATCTTATGTATGTACCTATAAATATTGAAATAAGCCGAGAGAAACACGTCGTTTAATTAATCTGGATCAATCACGAAAACGGTTGAACAACCGCCTAATTCAAAACAAGAAAACAAACGTCGATTCAAATATTTGAAAGAGGAAACACGTCAAACGTCACTGTGGGTTTTTCCATAGACTATAAAACTCAATAGACAATATTAGGTAGAGGCTACTATATATGTAACTATTTAGTAGCTAGCGGGTTTGCAGTTCCAACAATTGGTTCAAGAAACTGATAGTTTCCCGATGAAAATTTCCAGATTACAATTGCTATTTTTATTGCTGAAGATTATAAATTAACTGTATTGTAGTTCCTGTGTAATAATTGTAAAACCCTTTAAATAGAATGTCTTAATACGGGCTTAAGTACCTTTAATATAGTATAATTGTTTTAGAAGTAGTTAAAGTAACAACATTATCATTGTATTGTTGATATTTATGTATCTGTATGTGTATTCTTTCTTCAATCGATAAGTATAATGCGATTAATTTCTTTCCTGCTCCGTGGATCCGTCAAGACATGTTTTGGGCGACGGCGCGGCAGCTTTTCGGTGAGTCGGATCGGTAATTAGGGACGGCCACGATAAGGGTTATCGTGTCGCGCCGCTTTGTCGAAGTAGCATGTAAGCTCACATGGGTCGCCGTTTGGATTATATTTGTCATAAAGTGGTATTTGTTCAATTTTTGGGGTAAGACATTTGGTATACAAATACCTAGGTACTATTGAGACTTCGATTTCACGTCTCAAAGTGGGTTCACGTTACGACATTCGCCTTACGAGGCATCCAGTGAATATCTAGGAACTCACTCCACTATCCATTTAACAATCAGGTTATTGGCAAGATCGATTAACCAGCTAGGATAAAAAGAGAAAAAAAAGAGAAAGAATGAAAAAATACGTGTGGCACTCAGAGACTGCCGCGGTAAAGCTATTGCATAGCATTTTTTATGAACATATGCAANGTTCACGTTACGACATTCGCCTTACGAGGCATCCAGTGAATATCTAGGAACTCACTCCACTATCCATTTAACAATCAGGTTATTGGCAAGATCGATTAACCAGCTAGGATAAAAAGAGAAAAAAAAGAGAAAGAATGAAAAAATACGTGTGGCACTCAGAGACTGCCGCGGTAAAGCTATTGCATAGCATTTTTTATGAACATATGCAACTTTAATTAGATAATAATTTAATATTATAAAAATAATAAATTAGGACTACGTTATATTTATAAACATTAGCAAAAGCAAAACATTAACTGTCCCCTTCACACTCATAGAGAGAGAGATGGGCAGACTTTTAAGGATGCGCCATGGACGCGCATGCAGTGTGCACCGCGCGCATATTCACAAACCTACACAAGCGCAACGTGTGAATGTGTTGAACGTGAGCTAAATGGTAAGCGGAGTGGGGGGTGTGAGGTTTTATTTTCGTTACGGTTTTATATACGGCATTGTATATGGAGGTAATTCTTGATTCGGTTAAGCTATGCAATAGCTTAAAAATTGCTAGGAAGAAAACTTCGCCATCTCCCTCTAATATACGCCTCATGATATATAGATGAAATCCTCCCTACTTTACGGACATCCGATCGATTGTGTCGATAATGTGTCTAAAGATTTTTTTTTTTAATTGTGCCACTTTAACCATTGCAACTTGTAAACAAAGTAAATTAGAAATCAATAGTTGTTAGGATGATCCTTTTTACATAGAAACAAATTAACCACGTTCTGACTGACGCCACAGCCAAGCACAGGTTATGCTTAAATAAACAGCCTATGAAAACAAAAAAATTAGCCTACAGAATTAGGCAATGTCCCGAGCAATTTTTTTTATTGCCCTTGTGGCGAGGCGAGCAGGCGAGTATGCAGCGCACCTGATGGTGAGCGGTTACAGTCGCCCTTGGACGTCAGCAATGCCAGCCGCTGTCTACCGTTAAGTACTCTCCACAAGCCTAGTTTGAAGAAGGACATATAGAGCTCGGGAATCACCGGGGAGGAGAGCTCATTCCAAAGCCGGATGATGCGTGGCATAAAAGATCTTTGGAAGCGCACTGTGGATGAACGCAGTGGTTCTAGGTAGTATGGATGAAGGTCTAGGTCTTGGAGATGATGGGATCATCACAAGCAATTCCTCAGAACACTCCCTGTGAAACATATGGTACAAAATACAGAAAGAACTGAAGTCCTCCGCAGACCCAGAGGTTCCAAATGATGCTAATGTACAAGAGCCAGGGTAAAACATTTAAAAAAAAGCTTCGGGAATTGGATTACAATATCGTGGTTCCTTTAAAAACGATTTCAAATAAAAACAAAAAGGAATCCGCAATAATCATTTAATCTTCAAATGTTTTATTATAGATTATAAAAATATATAATTTTCATTAATTTTAAACGACAAGTTAAATAACTAAAAATTGGCACAATACATTTTATAATATGTGAAATGATAACAGCATTTACGTTTAAGGCAAAAATATTAAATGTGAAACTAATTTTTATTTTAATATTATTATCTTTTGATCTTAACAAAATGCTGGGTGTTTCGAAAACCGTTCTTTAAAGTGAAGGCGAGGTGTTGAAAATAATGGAGTTCCACATTGAAATACAAATCGTTATAAGCAATTTTCTATTTGGCTCGTTTTTCCTGCAGCACGCAATGAACATCAAATGAGGCCATCAGCGCAAAAGTGGCCTAAGCTTACCATAGTTATTATGGAGCAATGAGTGGTGGTAAGACCTCTTGTGAGTCCGCACGGGTAGGTACCACCGCCTTGCCTATTTCTGCAGTGAAGCAGTAATGCGTTTTGGGTTGAAGGGTGGGGCAGCCGTTGTAACAATACTTGAGACCTTAGAACTTATATCTCAAAGTGGGTGGCGCATGTACGTCGTAGAAGTCTATGGGCTCCAGTAACCACTTAACACCAGGTGGGCTGTGAGCTCGTCCACCCATATAGGCAATAAGGTTTTTTAAGTTTTCATGAATTTGAATTTGAGTAGACAAAAAACAATACGCGCAAAAATAATGTTTCCAAATTCATCTGTTATCTATTGCTGAAACTAGGGATACGCCGGTTTTGCATCAAAACTTATTATATTTTAAATAATAAATTGCAATATATATATTATTATAGGCATTATTATGAAAAATTGTGGGTAGACCACTTTTGCGCTGACATATATAATTTTCTGCTTAATACATTACAGTAGTGCATATGAATCCTCTTTTGGCTACACATTTTATTAAGCGAGTCGAACAAAATGAATCTCTATTTACTGAATGCATAAAGACTATATTAATATACGTAGTTTTCTTTATTATTATTAACTTAATTTTTTAAGCAAATATCTCGCTAGCACTCCGGACGTTGACTAATTTGACTATACATACAAAAAGCATATAACTAACCTAATTTAAAACTACCCACAACATTGTATTGGAATATGTATTTATTACTTAGAACCCCTCTAGCCGCATGGGTGTGCACAAAAGTACTTTTAATGATACACAATGAATTTCTAAATTATGCTCGGTAGTACATTAATAAAACGCTTACCCTAAACACGTCAAAAGGGAAGCGCATAGAGAAAATTAGTGTAAATGGATATTTGATAATACAGTAGTCCTCCTTATAACACGGCGCTCTTATAACGCATATTCATATTACGCGATTTCGGTCCCTCGTATAATACGGGTATTCCCCCATATACCTGACGAGGGGATTTAACACGTTATATTTCTTTACTGTGAAATTTATAATGATTTGTGCAGTTCTTATTTAATTTCGTCGTATCTTTGCACATTGTGCCAAAGGTGTGGTTATAAAATAAAATAAAATAAAATTAATTTATAGAATTTGTGTTCCTAGTTTTTGAATTGCAAAAACATCGGTTATTTTTTAATTTATATTATATTTATACATAGCGCGTTATGTGGGGTCATTTATGTGCGTTATGCGAGGATACTCCTACAACGCGAGAATATTCCTAAAACGCGTTCCCGATAACGCGGCACCAACCTGTCGTGTTATAGAGTGGATTACTGTATTTATAACCGGATTATTTTACTCTTTAAAAAAAAAGTTGGTCCCTTTTTGACTGAAAGTTGCTGAAAACAGCAAGCAGCTCATCATGACAAATGAAACTTGTTTAACTGTCAAAACCTTAATGGAATGTTTTCAAAGAACTAAATGCGACATTGAAATTTCTTAAAATTATCTAGAAATGCAGTAATTTTTTATTTATTTTAAATAAACCTTAATAATTATAACATGACTATAGTTTCTACACACGAAAATATATCAATTAACGTTATAAAAAAAATTATAAAAAAACTCAACGTTTCTCTTCGTGAAATTGATTTTAAAGATGGCTTCTTCTCCTTCCTCTTTTTAGCTTTAGGCAAAGGAATTGAAAAAAATATAAACATTAAAATGGCGTCTATTCTAACCGTTACTTTCATGTGACCACCATATTGGCTTTCTGGCGGGAACGTGAGAAGCGAAGTTGAGTGCTTTGTTTAGTCATTTTGCTTAGTGCTCCTTCAGGTTTGAATGTGTAATAACGCTGGCTTATTGACTGTTTAGCATCTGTGAACAGTGCACTAGTGCGAGGAAATGAAACAAAGCCGCCGGACGTCGCCGAACTTCACGGGTTCTTCCAAAGAGTACTGAAAAACTCTCAGTAAGCAACCTCATTTTACTTATCCAAAATAATTAAAGTCTCAAATTAAAACTTTATCTAATTTCGCCATTAACTTTTTAAATATTATAACAAAATGAAAGAAGAATATACAAGACTTGGCTTAAACATCTCGTTACCAAGGCCATAAAAATTTTACGAGAAAAAAAGACAATCATATTACTCAGACTGAGCTAGGTTTGAAGGGCGGGGTCTACTTCTGAATAATTACATAATTTAGAGGCGTGAAATTGAGAAACACATTTTGGATGTGGCACTTTATACTGGTAACTCAGGAATGTCCATTTTGTATAAAACCAAATAGATTTATTACACGCGGCTTTTTACTATGCAGTGACGTCACACCACAGACCCGGTACGGTGCACATAAAAACATCGTTTTTTTTTTCAAGCATACGGTGCGCATAAAAATACTTTTTTTAAGCACCATTTTATTTATTTTTTATTTTGAAAAAAATACACATTCTTAACTAGTCAATATATACTTTTTCATTTACATTTCAGTAAAACCTAAGCTTAATTATTATTATTTTTGAAACTAAGCATATACGACTCTTAGAATTTTTGTGTAGGGTTTTTTTCAACAAATATTAACGAAATTACTTGACCAGCACATCGTAAAAGGGATTTATCTCTGTTAAGCTAATGCTATAGGTTTCTAACTTCAAATTGAATTTTATAAACATCAAATTCAATTTTGTAAATATCAAATTTAGTTTCTATTGAAGACATAGTCATTTTTTTTTTGCGTTTTCTTCTTTCTTTTTGTTTTTAGTTTTGTTAACTTTAAAACGAAATAAAAATAATTCTAACCTTGGAATAGAAAATGAATTTGATGTTTACAAAATTGAATTCGATATTTACAAAAGTGAATTTCAAATTCACAAAATTAAATTTGACGTATACAAAATTGGATTTGTCGTATATAAAATTAAATTTTGAAGTTTATAAAATTGAATTTGAAGTTAAAAACTTGTATTAAGAGGGAGGAGCACCGGAATAATACGATGGCCTAGTTGCATCCTTTTCAAACAACCTATTGAAATAGCATAATAGTGGTAATTAAGTTTCTCTTTTCCGTTTTGGTTTTTGAGACTGGTCGAATTAGCTTTGTTTTGACGAAATGATTACACCGAATTTCAACAGTTGACTATAAAATCTTAATTTCCCATTATAACGTGATCGACTGTTGTATTATTAATATTACTTCTTTCCGCCTAGCGATTCGAAGAAACTGACGAATTTATTCACTCCTATGTTCTTGGGTAGATCGTCTTCGGGCGGATCGTTAGCCCTGATCACCTCCTTTGGAGCACCGTTGCTGTTATGCACCATTTTGATTTCGTTCGAAGTTCTGGCTTTCTTGTCGACTCCGTTAGTGTTTATGTGGTCATTGACCGGTTTGTGTTCATTCGACTCTAGTTGGGCCGGTTCACTGAACTCCAGTATCATTTCTTTGACGCTCGGTGCTTGTTCGGGAGTCTCAGTTTTCTCTGTGACTATCAAAGTTTGGGAGCCATCGTTGTTTTCAAGGAGTGTGGTAGTTGTGATTTGCGTTTCAACTTCGGCTCTGTCGATTTGGTCAGAGTCACTCACGACTTCTGTCCTCTCTTCGGAAACGCTGGTCTCTTTGTTCATGACTTGGGTTATGACCACTGTCTCGATAACGGACACTATTTCCGGTTCATGTTTGGGCGTATCGATTTCTGGTTCATTTTTGTATGTATCGATTTCTGTTTCTTTTTTGCATGTATCGATTTCTGGTTCATTTTGGTATGTATCGATTTCTGGTTCTTTTTTGAATGTATCGATTTGTGGTTCGTTTTTAGACTGGTTGGTCGTTTCATCCCAGATTCTGTAGTGTTTGTCGTAGATTTTCTCCCAAAAGTCCATCTTCTCTTTGTCCGGGTTTGAGATTAAAGTTAATTCTGAATTTAGATTTAGACAGTATAAATTGTCGTTTGTTACCGGTAGCCAGTTGGTGTTCAAATAGTGGTTTTCGTCCGGTATCGGGTTCCTGAAATAGGTTTTAGTGTCGGAAATTTGAGGACAAATTGTAAATTCTGATATAGTTTTGTGAAAATAAAGGTATCATTAAATTTAATATGTTCACAGTGGGTATTCAGTTTTAATGGATGTAAGAGCAAGTTGCTTTTTAAGCCTTCGTCAAACAGAACGCGTACTTAACGTCGCGCTCTTCAAATTGACTAGATGAGTCTAACGCTCCTTGACGCAACGCATTCGCCAAATCATAGTGCCTTTCGATAGCAGTGTGAAAATTTAAAAGTATTAAGAAATCGAGTGATTCAGATGTGGCATTGTATAAGCATGGGTATTTTCTAACTATTAATATTATTTTTTCGGGCATTATCTAGTATTTTAATACACATTCACTCGGACGCTAAAATAAAATTTGTAAAAAAATTACAACGCCTGACGTCAAAGCGTCCTAACGCCGCGACAGAGCGCTGCGTACTTATAGCGCTGGGGCTCTGTTTGACGGTATGTTACCATAGTAGTACAACACATCTCGGCGTCATAGCGCGGCGTCCGTTTAGCGCTCTGACGCGCGCTAATTACGCGTTCTGTTTGACGAAGGCTTTAAGCCAAATTGAAGATGGAGCCTTTTGATGATGTGAATTATTGTTTAGCAAGGGAGATACGGAGAGGCGTACTTAAGATGCTTTTATACGAACATAATGAACTAGGTAATCGAGATATTTTAATCATTAAAGATGTAAGGATGTCTTCAATGCCTATAGTGTAATCCTCATCAGTCGAGCAAGAATTTAAAGAACGATATAAACTTGAGGAAGTCAGTTATTATTATATCTGTAACCGAAATAACTTACCCAGATTTAGCGAAATTAGTCCAGAGCCTGACAATCCTCTCACGCATCTTGATATCTTCAGGAGTCGGCTCCACGTCTTTCTGGAAGTCATTCTTGAACAGATAGCCCAGCTCGTCCATGTGCATAGCGTACTTCAGTCCAAGACTAAAGAAGATCTTCTGGGCGATATTCAATTCGCCCACATAATCAAATCTATAGTAATAAATTGGACGGTTCGTAACTTGGAGCAAATATTTTNTGACAATCCTCTCACGCATCTTGATATCTTCAGGAGTCGGCTCCACGTCTTTCTGGAAGTCATTCTTGAACAGATAGCCCAGCTCGTCCATGTGCATAGCGTACTTCAGTCCAAGACTAAAGAAGATCTTCTGGGCGATATTCAATTCGCCCACATAATCAAATCTATAGTAATAAATTGGACGGTTCGTAACTTGGAGTAAATATTTTATGTATCGATGCGTGTCCAAATTGATCAACTTGTCTGATAAGAGATGGAAGTATTCTGGTAGACTCTCCACTCCTGTGTGGTTCCCTTTGAAATACAATTTCTTTATTTCTTCTACGATTGCCAAGGCTTCTTCTGAGTTTCTGTCTAGGTTCAGGTCAGCTGGTATCAACTCTTGAAGATCATCAGTCTTTCTCTCGCAGGCGTACTCTAATGACGTAGTTCCAACTAGTATTGGGATGTTGGCTGTTCTACCTGATGTTAGGATGTTAATGAAAGGTTCACTGATGACAGCTTCGACTCCTGGAAACTCCTTCTCGATTACCAGCCCAAACAAATTATTACTCGTTTCTAGAACTTTCTGCAAAGAATTCAACTTCTCGTCTGCCTCAACCAAGTCTTTGGCTGGAGTCGCGATTAAAAACTCTAGAATTTCATCAACGTCTTCTGCTTCACAGCCCAAACTTCTGGCTAAAGCTTTAGCACTTTGTAAGGGGTCTCTTTGAAAAGCTCTAGAAGACAATGCGTTTCCAGATTGGATTATAGCTTTGCTGATTAAATTTTTGGTTAACGGACTAGCTGTCAGCAACGAAACCGCACGCGCGCCCGCGCTTTCACCAAATATGGTCAAATTACCGGCATTACCACCGAAGTGATGGATATTATCTTTCACCCATCTAATGGCTTGAACTATATCTTTGATACCAGCATTCCCTGGGACTTCAGGCGTATTCAGACTTAAGAACCCTAAAGCACCACATCTATAATTTATAGTCACTACCACGACATCTCTGTCAACTAGAAAATCTGGTCCATACAAGTTGGTATTGCCGGATCCCCACTTGAACCCACCACCGTGGATCCAAATCATGACCGGGAGGAATGCTCCATCAGTGCTAGGGGTGTACACGTTTAGGAACAAGCAGTTTTCATCGCCGACATAGGATTTCGCGAAGACTGGATCGATTTGAGCACACACGTTCCCTTCCGCCGTGGCATCCCTGATGCCGTCCCAGGGTTCTGGAGGTTGTGGGGCCTGGAATAAAATGTTATTTAATATGAAACTTTTTGAAAACCACTAACAAGAATGCGAGCTTTCTGATTTAATGACAATAATTACAATTTGATTTATCCAGGTAGATCTCAGCGATAATACTGTTATTGTTGAAATATTTGGCATACATCGACGCCATTAAGAGTTAGTTACCTAAGCATCATTAAATGGTTATTTATCGTCAATTGGGCATTTCTGCAAGTCATTATTGTACTGTATCGTGTGTGAGGGAAGAAAAGAAAAACGAAATCGACTGTTAAGAATATCTTTATTGTTTTAAATAACATTGTAGTTTTTATTCGATTACATGCAATTCGTAATACCCGAAGGCGGTCATTTTTTAATGGTTTATGGAATGATGGAAGGATGTTTCGTGTGATATAAGCGATAGGCTCTCGTTACTTGCGAAGACAGTTGAAAGTGATTTCACAATAAATAAATAAATAAATATTTACTAACAATCACGCCACGTTAACTGGTCCCGTGATAAGTTCATAAAGAACTTGTGTTACAGGTACCAGATAACGGATATAAATGTAAGATTTTTATTATACACATACATATATTTAATATACATCCATAACCCTGGAAAAGACATTTATATTTATCATACAAACATCTTCCCTTGGCGGGATTCGAACCCGCAACCCCCTTGTGTAGTGACCATGTCACTTACTACTACACCAGACGGCCGTTATAGATGCCAAACTGACCGATTGCCATTCCGAGCTATGGTATTTCATATATTACATTAGGAGCTACATAGTATGAATAATTATAATCAAATAGCACCTGCCTGTACTACGTACTAAAATTTTTCCTTGCACTAATATAATTTTTCGGATAAATTCGTTTGATAAACAATAAATTTGCACTTTACATATACGGTCTTTACTAATCGGTACGATTTGATTATAGCGCCCGTCATAGCAACTTTTTATTGAATCATTTAAAAAATAACTGATATAAATATAATTAGCTTAAATTTATAAATACGTTTTTATTTTTGACAACAATCTAATTTTTCTTACTAATTTAACCAATCACTTTTTTCCGCCAAGCGATTCATAGAAATTAACAAATTTGTTGACCCCTATGTTCTTTGGTAGGTCGTCTTCGGGCGGGTCGCTGGCTCTCACGACGTCTTTAGGTGCAGAAGTCTGAGCCATTTTGATTTCATTCGAAATCTTTGGCTTATAATCTTCGTTCGATTTAGCATCACCATTAACTGGTGGGTTTGGCACCGAACTGATAGGCACTATTTCTTCAAAAACGGCTCTTTCTTCAAGACCAGGTTGTCCGTCATCAATGGCTTGTTCTTCAGTAACTTCGTTATCAGGATAGACAAGTTTCCTGGGTGGCTCGATGGTATTTATTTTAGTATGCTCCCAAATTTTGAAGTGTTTACTGTATAAATCTTCCCAGAATTTCATTATCTCCTCGTCAGGGTTTTGGAGAAGATTCAGCTCTTGACCCAAGTTTAGGTAGTAGAGAGTATCATTGGTAACCGGTAGCCATTTCGTTGGGAGATAGTGGTTTTCTTCTGGGGTGGGATTTCTGGAAAATGGAAGGCTTTCGTGAGTGATTATTTGTTTGAAACAATACAATTATGTATTATCTGAATTATATTGTAGATTTTGTTAGAATATAAGATCATTAATTTGTTGGAAGCAATAAAAAAAACGATGTTCTTTATTTCAAGGACATGCAAATCAACTATTTAAAAGCCAAAAAGTATTTTTCCTGTAGAAGAACACAATCCATGTGTTAGGCCTTGGGGCTTCCTAACGGATCACTCATACTGATCTTGTATATTAGGTAACTCCCTTTTTTGCTGGTGATAGTGGGTGGTAATATAAGCCCGTGTAGGTTAGGACTTTGGCTAACCATGCCACGACTAAGACCCGTTTGAAAAGTAGGACAGCTGTTATACAATTGAGATTTTGACCTCATGTCTGAATTCATGTTATCATGTATATAGGCTTCGTTTTAGTGAGCGATTAGCTCCTTAACCATTTAGAAGAACATTTTTTTTTTTTCTATGAATTAGATTCGTATTTTAATAGTAATAAATCGCTAGCAATATTTTTAAACTATCATTTTTTTTTTGTTTTAAGACACACATACCCAAATTTGGCGAAATTAGTCCAAAGTCTGACCATTCTTTCCCTCATCTTAACATCTTGAGGGCTTGGGTCATCCACGTCTTTCTGGAAGTCATTTTTGAACAAATACCCTAAATCGTCCATGTGCAGGGCGTATTTTAGTTCTGTATCAAAAAATGACTTATGGGCGAAGTTGAATTGGCCAACGTAATCAAATTTATAAAAATATATTGGCTGATTTGAATTTTGAACTAAATATTTGATGTATCTATTGATGTTTATATTCAGTAATAAATCAGAATGGAGCCTGTTTAGACCTTCGGCTTTGTTTTCTTCTGTATCGCTTGTGAAATATAAGCCTTTTAAATTTTCAGCAATGGCTAAGGACTCGTCTGAATCCTTTTCAATATTCAAATCTGAAGGCATAAACATTTGCAAATCACTCGGTCTTAGGTTAGTTAGAAGTTCGAGCGTTGTCGAGCCGATCATTATAGGAATTTCGGCTGTACGTCCTGACGTTAAGAAATCTAAAAGAGGCTCCGTCAGTACAGCTTCGACACCCGGGAATTCTTTCTCGACGACAACAGAGAAAAAGTTATTCTGATCGACAACTAAACTATCGAAGGAATTAACNATAAACATTTGCAAATCACTCGGTCTTAGGTTAGTTAGAAGTTCGAGCGTTGTCGAGCCGATCATTATAGGAATTTCGGCTGTACGTCCTGACGTTAAGAAATCTAAAAGAGGCTCCGTCAGTACAGCTTCGACACCCGGGAATTCTTTCTCGACGACAACAGAGAAAAAGTTATTCTGATCGACAACTAAACTATCGAAGGAATTAACGATTTCCGTTGCCTCGACAAGTTCTTTAGCCGTGACTGTGTTCAAGAACTCTAGAACTTCGTCAACGTTGTCAGCTTCGCAACCTAAATGACTTGCCAAAGCCTTGGCACAGGTCAATGGCTCTTTTTGTACAGCCCATTTTGATATACCGGTACCGGATTGTACAATAGCCTTATTAATCATGTTTTTAGACAGTGGACTAGCAGTTAGTATCGTTACAATGGCCCCGCCAGCGCTTTGACCGAACACAGTGAAATTATCAGGATCTCCACCGAAACTCTTTATATTCTGTTTTAGCCACCTCAGTGCTTGGACCACGTCTTTGAGTCCAGCGTTTCCTGGCACTTCAGGGGTATTCAGGCATAAGAAACCCAAAGGTCCACATCTGTAGTTGAGGGTAACAACGACAACGTCTTTCTCAACCAGATAATCGGGGCCATATAGGGTTTCGTTGCCTGAGCCCCATTTGAAGCCCCCACCATGGATCCAAATCATTACGGGTAGGTTTCCGGCGATATGTGGGGTATATACGTTTAAATATAGGCAGTTTTCATCGCCAGTATATGTTTTCGTGAGCGATGTGTCTATTTGCGGAGCGATGTTTCCCTCTGCTGTAGCATCTCGGATTCCTTCCCAAGTTTCCGCTGGTTTAGGTGCCTGTAAAATATAATAATAGTTGACAATTACTTCAAATTTTCATTGATCGAAAGCAGAGTATTCATTAGTCTTAACATTACATTCGGGAAATTCATACCAAATGTAAAATTATTTAGGGATAATTTTAATATAGCATCTTTCCGCATAGGAGTGACCTTTAATTGGTGTTTAGTGTAGACTCTAGCTATCGCAACTCAAGTGCTCACGATTGCATTTAAAAACTCATAGCATTGGAGCCTTAACGATAGTCGTAACAAGCAACCTAAGCCCATTAAACCAATAAAACAGAATGAGAAGCTTCAAAGCCCCACCGTCAAGAGATTGCCAATGCACACATTACTCAATTACATAAGAGGAAAAACGTAATAGTATTCGAGATATTAAGTGCTATCATCTCATGATAACACCAATGATAACACAAGCCTGTTGAGATGACACGTTATCGTAATGCAGGTTTTCTTGAAAGTGAAATTTTATGTTCGTGGATTGTGGTGAGGATCGAAATATTTGAAAGACTATTATTACATTAGAGGATCAATTCGTTGACCGCAGAAAGTGAATAAGGACGTTTTTATCGACATCAGCAATGTACTTAGTTCGCGAACCAAACGTCATAAGTCTAACCACTGTTACAAAAAGACAAGCCAAAATAGATACTAGAATTAAGGCTTAACTGTGTAAGGTTTTATATTAAATTAATCATAATTTTATAAATAGCATTGTGCTATGAACCTAACAACTTGATATCAGGGGATCTGACGTAATAAGTCGCTTTATAGAAAATTTATAGCAGATTTAAGAAACAGATGTGTGTCGGTCCGGTGGAATCCATCTACATATGAAAATCTTATTCTACTTAATTAACCGCCTATTGTACAAATATGTATATCGGTTTGTTACCTATTTTTTAATGTTGTTTTGGTGTGTAATAAAGTATATTCTTTTCTGTCTCTCACTCTATCCCCACTCCTGCCCCTATTTCCTATCGCGAGTACCACACCCTGATTATTTCTACCAAGCATTAAGGCTTGAATGTTAGTTTTCCATTGAAAGAAAAGTTTCAAACATTTCCCAAAGTGGCGCCAGAAGGGATCAGCGTCCACCATATTTCAAGATCAGTCCATATACATATACATTAGTGGACAGCAGTCAGACATCGGTATTGCCATTATTAAAAACCTTTTACAGATTTTTTATATTTATTGTCTCGTATAATTTGGTTTTCCACACCTATAGGGGTCACGACCCTCAGCATTAAGGATTTATGANTTCAAACATTTCCCAAAGTGGCGCCAGAAGGGATCAGCGTCCACCATATTTCAAGATCAGTCCATATACATATACATTAGTGGACAGCAGTCAGACATCGGTATTGCCATTATTAAAAACCTTTTACAGATTTTTTATATTTATTGTCTCGTATAATTTGGTTTTCCACACCTATAGGGGTCACGACCCTCAGCATTAAGGATTTATGACGCAAGGAGGAGTTTGATAATTTGGTTTCAAACAAATCCCAAGGACAAGGTCCGCATTGACGAATATGATAGAACGTCAGTCTGTTTGTTATCTTGTCTGTATTGTCAGCACGATTGGCAGTCAATATATCATTAAATTTATGACTCATTTATAAAAGTTATCATGACTCATTATTTTAATCAAAGTTCAATGATCGAATTATTAGTATTATATTATATTTGCATAATACTGAAAGTTAATCTCTATTAAGTACACAAGAAAATGGAGGGTTGCGTTGATAAAAAAGTTTGAACGGTATTTAGGGTTTTCACAAGCATTTAAGAAATAATTTGGTCTTACAGACACTGAAGAGCCCACGGTCCACTTAGTCTCTGAACACGTGATAATAATTAGGTTTATGCAGCTTTACTGGCAAATATGCATTTATCATCGCAAGGCCCACCCCAGCAGCAGAGTTCATCCATATTACATGGAACCGCTGCGTTCATCCACGTTTCCGAGATTTTTACCATCCGGCTATGGAATGGCCTCCCCTCTACGCCCTCTCCCGAGCGCTACGACATGTCCTTCTTCTCTTCAAACGAGAGTACACAGCGGTAGGCCGCGCCTTGGATGTGTCCCATTCTGTGGCCCTGACATCCATGAGCGACGGTAACCACTCATCATAATATGGATCATATGCTCCTATTCTTTTGAGTAACCGCTTTTGGTCTTATGGTTAAGATGCTTGATTTATTCAGCGGAGCGCGCAATTTATAGCACGTAAATTATCGGCTATTCTTATTCTTAAGCTATGTTCAAATTTCAGTTACCCGTTATCACAAACGACAGATCATATAATGAATGCGTATTGATTTTAAAAGAAAATCCCACGTACCTTGATTAACACCTCCACCGCAGTGTGCAATTAAATCTAACCGTCTAACTCCGTTCTCCAGAATAGACCCCGGTCTTCAGCACAGAAACACTTGGGACACTTAAGGCACACAGCTGTTTTGATCACAAAAAAGCTGATCTAAGCTTGATTCCTCCATTCCAAAATGGTAATGCACCCTCGTTTAAGGTTTATGTACGCCGAATCGTCAATAAACCTATGTGATATTTCATGATCATGTATGTAATGAAGAAATGAACGTGTCTAATATTCGGCTGATTAGGTATTTGGCAACACCGAAAGCAGCACGGAAAAAAAGAAGACTGCAAAAGGCCTGAAAATGTAAAAAAATCGATATTCCTGTTTCCTCCGAAATCGGCGAAAATTAAATATTTATTTCGTTTATCAAAAATTAATTACGCAGAACTACGTTTTAAATCTCAAAGATGTTTGAAAACATCAGAAAACTTGAGCAATTTAGTTATGCTGTAAGCAAATTTATTTAAAAAAAAATATAAAGCGGTAGATAACAGGATAATACCAATGTATGGATGTAAATGGATACAAAAAAAAACAAAAAATGACGGTACACGAAAATGGAATGTAAAAACTGTTTAATACACAAAGTAAAATGATTCCAAACGATTTTTTTTAAACACAGTGGAATTGAATGTGGAAGTGTCTGGTACCACAACTGGACGAGATGTGAGATATCCGTTCTGGAAACCATTAAAGTAATAATGTAATACTATTTATTACAATTAATGCATGAAGTAAAACGTATTAATAATTTCCAGCGCTAAATATATTTGTATTTTTGGTTAGTGCACATTTCGTGAACAAGCAATATAAATTGAAGGCATTAGCGGGAGTTAACGCCCCGTGTCACGCGAGAATGTGGGCCTTGACCCTGCGCGTCATTTCATTATTAATTGTGTTACATTGCGTGCCGCCAAAACATTAGTTGGAAATTACAAAGCACCTGTCTTCATTTCCTGACACGGTTCTCCTACATCCAGTATTAAATTAACAATGAACTGATAAACCAAACCAAAAAAAAGATACGTAAATGGTCTATTTCATTAGCTCGCTTCAGAGTCTTTAAATCTCTTGAACTGGGTTCTTGTGCTCTGGGCTATTAACACCAAAAGCATATATTCAAGACCAGACCGAGATCAACCAGACTCAGAATCCTCAGAATGATTAATGAGGACATTGATTTACATCACAATAAAGCGGTGCATGATATGTGCAGTAGCCACAAGTCCATGGTAAGAGATCGGTATCCGGGAGCTCGTGAGCCGTATGCGTCTATCTGACTCCTCAGCTACGGCTCTTCCGCGAAATGTTTAGTATAGGCATGAAATATTACTTATTATCTTGCCTTGCCTTGCACAAGAGACGAGTAAACATTTTTGAACACCAATTGACTTCCACGGTGAAGGAATAACATCGTGTAATAAAAAACAAACTAGCAAAATTATTATTTGCGTAATTACTGGTGGTAGGACCTCTTGTGGGGCTCCAGTAACCACTTAACACCAGGTGGACTGTGAGATCGTCCACTCAACTAAGTAGTAAAAAAAAATCTGATCCCGAAAATGCGATTAGCGCGTTTCGGATTCTCGTCAAATACTCTTTTCTACGATAGTTGCCGCTGCAGTCCCACTTTATTTCTATTGATTGTACGCAATAAACGGTTGTAACAGAAGCCTCAAAGGTTGAACATTCTGACTCCTTTGTCGATACATGTTCAACAAACAAATAACCTTCTTTTACATTTCGTGACTTTTATTCTTCAAATTACTATAGTAGAAAAAAAATACGGAAAATTTTAAGTAATTCTACCCAACAATTCACATCAAATTTAGAATCAACATACAGAGCCGCAATGGAATGTGAAATGATTACTTTTATTTATATTGTACCGACCTTAAATCGCAAAGACCCCAACGGGGGTTTCGCATATGGTATTCCTTGGAAACTGTAGAAGGCCTTCCCGGACGGGCTATTTACGATCCGACCCTGGAGCTGCCCTTGCTCCACCGTGACTAGAGGCGACTCGGACATCCTGCCACCACTGAAAAAGAATAATGTCTTATAAGCACACCAGTTTTTTTTATTGCTTACATGGGTTTCAGTATAGTTACAACGGCTACCCCACCCTTCAAACCAAAAGGCATTATTACTGCTTCACGGCATTAATAAGCAGGGCGGTGGTACCTACCCGTGCGGACTAGCTAGAGGTCCTACCACCAGTAGGTTGTAGGTTGTTACCATGTGATTTCGACTGTACCAAGAATACGTAAACAAACATCGCACCAGAATCTAGTTTCTTTGTTGTTAGTTCATTTAAAAATAATTGTCCATACCTAGCATGTCCATAACTAGAATCTGCAGCTTTTATCTTTGCTCGTTCCATTAAGCTTACTCTTAACAAAAAGGTCCTCTATGCACGTGTTTCATTTAAAATACTTTCAAAAGTTACGATGGTCAGATCTATAACGTTTTTAGTATTCGTGATACAGCAGAATATACTAGCTTCAATATCTGTTACATATTTCTAAATCCGTACTTGATCTCTGAAATATTTATCTCTTAATGATTCTAATCTTTACAGAGAACTTGTTTTACATCCATACATGAACTTGTTAAGAATCGTGTAGCAAGATTCCAATTCTGAAGGATATGTAGCATTTAGGATAGCATTTTTTTAGGCATACGTAACATTAATCAGTTTTCTTCTAATTCGACAGTATTTTGACCTTTGGTTGAAACAAGTTAGTAACGTTTTAAGTCTAGTCAATTAGTTTGGTGAATGACAGAAGTAGAATGCACATACCGGTGGTTTCTATTGTGATTACGCTTAAGTTGAGATTTCTGAATATTCTGAGGTCGTCGTTACCGTAACGGAAAGGCGACCGATCCGTAACGTAACGCTTAGCGACGCTAATATACCGATGTTCGAATTCTGAACGAATGTACAGATTTTTTTAAATAAAATACGTATTTAACAAACCTTCACGAACGATATTCACAATGAAGGAATGACATCGCGTAATCAATATCAAATTAGCAAAAAAAAAAGCGCAATTATTGGTGGTGAGACGCAGTTGTCTCTTCGTGAGAACCAAACATAGAGACGCAAAAATACGAGAACACTATAACGTGATATTATTCGTAATGTAGAAAACTTGTTACACGGTTCATTGGAACGGCCGTCTGGTGTATTGGTAAGTGACATGGTCACTACACAAGGGGGTCGCGGGTTCGAATCCCGCCAAAAGGGAGATATTTGTATGATACATATAAATGTCTTTTCCAGGGTTAGGGATATATATTAAAATATTAAATATATGTATGTGTATAATAAAAATCTTACATTTATTTCCGTTATCTGGTACCTGTAACACAAGTTCTTTACTTATCACGGGACCAGTTAACGTGGCGTGATTGTTAGTAAATATTTATTTATTATTTATTTTATTTATTTATTATTCTATCCAATAATACATATCGACGCTTGAAAGGCAAAAGTGACTAAGAGACAATGCGTGAACTTTACAGTAGACTAATTTAAAGTTGAAATTAATTTAAAATATACATGAGAAATAACTGAAAAAAATTATATTTTAACGAATCTAGCTGTAGGATTGAAATGATTTTAATAGACCTAGAAATATATTTTTTTTGCGCATTCGATATGGTTATTGCCTATCATTTATGTACAAATCAGTTATTGTCGCTTATTCACGTTTGCCTTTCAAGCGTTGAATATGTATATCGACACTTGAAAGGCAAACGTGACTAAGCGACAATAACTGCTTGATACATAAATGATAGGCAATGACCATATTCGATGCGCAAAAAATATATATTTCTAGGTCTTTTAAAATCATTTCAATCCTACAGCTACTAGCTAGATTCTACTACGCATTCGTTAAAATAAATTTTATTTTCAGGTATTTCACCTTTAAATTATTATTAGTCTACTGTAAAGTTCACGCATTGTCGCTTAGTCACGTTTGCCTTTCAAGCGTCGATATGAGAATCTGATGAAATGCATAAGTCAATTCAAGCCATGTCATATTAAGAAATTCTATTATAGATAATATTCAGTAATTTATGTAATTATGTATTTATTTTTATATTTCAATTTGTTTCACACTCGAGCATTGTAAATAAACAAAATTTATAAACTTTCGCAGAGGAATTAAGTTAAGAATCCCGGTGCAAAAGGAGAAATGCCCAAAACATTAGTCAATATTATCTATTCTATACCAGATCAAACAGTTCGGATCAATGATCCACACGTAATTGCATAGCGGAGAAATAAAATAAACAGTATTTACAGATTATTCCTGCAAGATATCGTTGGAGTGCTTGCTTACCTACGGTTTCCTACAAGCTATTTGATTAAAAAAACTGCTAAAACGTACTTAACAATTGTTCACGATTGACTTCCACGGTGAAGGAATAACATCGTGTAATAAAAATCAAACCCGCAAAATTATAATTTGTGTAATTACTGGTGGTTGGACCTCTTGTGAGTCCGCACGGGTAGGTACCACCGTCCCGCCTATTTCTCCCGTGAAGCAGTAATGCGTTTCGGTTTGAAGGGTGGGGCAGCCGTTGTAACTATACTGAGACCTTAGAACTTATATCTCAAGTTGTGTGGCGCATTTACGCTGTAGATGTCTATGGGCTCCAGTAACCACTTAACACCAGGTGGGCTGTGAGCTCGTCCACACATCTAAGCAATAAAAAAAAACTTTCCTTGAAAACCATTATCGTATCAAGCGTAAGAAATTCTCTGTAGAAATTTTGGCGGCGATTTTTTCAATAGGTCTGCAACCAGTATATTCCTTCAAGCGTCTTTGAGACAATCATATTTCAATCGCAGTTTCTCGACCTACTCAACTCATTAGGTAAAAATGTTGATTCACCGGGGTCCGGTTTTTACAGGTGGTAGGACCTCTTGTGAGTCCGCGCGGGTGGGTACCACCACTCTGCCTATTTCTGCCGTGAAGCAGTAATGCGTTTCGGTTTGAAGGGTGGGGCAGCCGTTGTAACTATACTTGAGACCTTAGAACTTATATCTCAAGATGGGTGGCGCATTTACGTTGTAGATGTCTAAGGGCTCCAGTAACCATTTAAGACCAAGTGGGCTGTGAGCTCGTCCACCCATTTAAGCAATAAAAAAAAAGACCGATATGAAAACCGCGATCTTTACAAAGATCTAGAAATAGAAATGTAAATAAGGAAAATAAATTTACAATTAATGTAAGGGAAGTCGTCGTGGCCTAACGGATAAGACGTCCGCTGCATCCGTGTTGAGCGATGCACCGGTGTTCGAATCTCAGGCGGGTACCAATTTTTGTAATGAAATACGTACTCAACAAATGTTCACGATTGACTTCCACGGTGAAGGAATAACATCGTGTAATAAAAATCAAACCCGCAAAATTATAATTTGCGTAATCACTGGTGGTAGGACCTCTTGGGAGTCCGCACGGGTAGGTACCACCACCCCGTCTATTTCCGCCGTGAAGCAGTAATGCGTTTCGGTTCGAAGGGTGGGGTAGCCGTTGTAACTATACTGCGACCTTAGAACTTATATCTCGAGGTGGGTGGCGCATTTACGTTGTAGATGTCTATGCGCTCCAGTAACCACTTAACATCAGGTGGGCTGTGAGCTCGTCCATCCATCTAAGCAATAAAAAAAAAAAGAAAAAAAAACAAATCTCTTACCGATACAAAAATGATGTGAGCCTCACAAATAACACCTTCCTCTTGGGAACGAAAAAAGCGGAATAGATTCATAAAAAAATGTTTTATCAAAAAAAAAAAAGGTGATAAAACTAAGATAAGGTGAAATAACAACTTGCGTAACTATGTGTGGTAGATAAATCATGTGAATTGTACAGCTATGGAAGTTCGGAGCGTGTGAGCAATCGTGACAGAATCAATTTGCACTATGTACCATTTACTGGTGGTAGGACCTCTTGTGAGTCCGCGCGGGTGGGTACCACCACCCTGCCTATTTTTGCCGTGAAGCAGTAATGCGTTTCGGTTTGAAGGGTGGGGCAGCCGTTGTAATTATACTTGAGACCTTAGAACTTATATCTCAAGGTGGGTTGGCGCATTTACGTTGTGGATGTCTATGGGCTCCAGTAACTACTTAACACCAGGTGGGCTGTGAGCTCCTCTACCCATCCAAGCAATAAATAAATAAAAATTAACTTTTTTGCCCATTTTTTGGCTGAAGTCTTAAGCGATCATATGTACTCATGGACATCAATGACAGACACACAAACTAGCAGTTACCATAGGTTAAAGCCTCTTTTGAGGCTTCTTTTGAAGATGGAGGCGTCATTTCTTAACTTTAGTGAATCACTGTGGAATCTTATGCATTTATTTGTTCTATGAAATAAAATATTTGATGAGATCACGTCGATTAGCTAATTCCTCAGAGCACTTGCTATTTCCAAGACTTATAAAACGTATTTATATTCGACATTTTTGAGCAAATTTAATAATATCTACTACGAGAAAGCAAGACGCGGAAGATAATAACAATTTTACTCAAATCTTCAAACACAAAAAAATAAACGCCACACGTTCCGAACAAGAATAAAATTGATTATTATTGATTTGATTGATAGATATTATTTATTCTAGATTGATATGGTATCAATGTTTTTTTGTTTAGGAATAGATAAAAATTATCAGTTTATCCGTGAATTTTCTATTGTCTAATGATTAAAAACATATAAACTTATAATTAAAATCAACGTAATCAACAAAATATGGTCGTATCACTTTATTAACACACTAGCGACCCGCCCTCGCTTCGCTTCGGAAAGATTAAAACACACATGAAACCAAAAAAAAAAAAAAATTAAAAAAAAGTAGCCTATGTTCATCAGGGACAATGTCGGCTTCTAATGGAAAAAGAATTTTTCAAATCGGTCCAGTAGTTTCGGAGCCTATTCGAAACAAACAAACAAACAAATCTTTCCTCTTTATAATATTAGTATAGATAAAAGTCAGCTTTACTAAAAGTTAAAATTATTTATG